TATTGATTTTTTGCACCCAAACCCGTGCGGTTTGTTAAGCAAATTGTTTGATGATGTGATTTATTGAATTAATATTAGGAAATTCATCGATTTTAAATTCCTAAAATAAAAATTGTTTGTTGTTCACGGAAATATTAGATATGGTTACACGGAAATGGTGCCGTGAATGTAGTAGTTTTAAGTATAAGATTCTTTTTAAATAATATAAAAATATTGTGTATCCCGTTTTCTTTTAATCAAATATTTTTTGTTTCAATGTATCGTATATGTAATACATCTTAAATTTGGTAAGATAAAATTTGTATGATTTATTTTCAATAAAAAAATTCGGTTGGTAAAATCTGCAAATAAACAGAATTGATTTGCCAAAGTTTCAACCCATTTATTAATAATATTATAAAATATTGTTTAATGATAATTATTGTTAGTTAAGATAAACATGAACACACGATCTTCTATTCTTTTTTAGCACATAAAGGAATTGATTTCTTGCTCTGAAAATCATATATAACCTTATCATCACTGCTAAAAAAAATTAAAAAAAAAAAAAAACATGTATCATCCCAACATAAAATTTCAGTAACACTGCTAGCCACAACATAAGAGCAGAACATGAACTCCCAATCTCAAAACCTCAACCACTCAATTAGTACTCCAAATTAGGCATTTACATCTTCACGAATCATTCTACAATTTATTATTAAAGGAAGAGAGACATAGCAAACAGTATCAGAACCTTCACGAATACATCCTCAATATACATGGCGTACCTCTTCGATCGAATCCCCAAGCCTGCCGGCTTGTCGCTCAAATAGAGCTGGCACCCAATTGCTCGAGTAATCGTCCATTGCCGTCGCTCAACAGAAGCATCTCATCCCCAATCTTCAGATTTGCCTTCCACACCTTGATCACGAAGACGTTGTTCAGGAAAACGCACACGATGGTGTCGATTCCTTTGGCCTTAAACTCGGCAGCTTTCTCCACGAACCTCGGAAGATGCTTCTGCGAGGAGGTGGGGTGAACACTGAAACGTATAATTTCCTGAGTGCGTGAAATGAAGTACGAACGTGGATAAACAACGTAAATAGCGGAAGCAATAAACCGAAGATTTTAAAACTCTTCAGGGAAGCGTCCAACTTCCCCTCAGAGCTCTTTCATTGATAAACCGTTCACACTTGTATAGTTTGGACTTACACGACTCGAACTCCCTTCTAGTCTAGCCACAACTACACACGATCCTATCAACTACTTCTCCGGCCACGTCCCGTGGACTTTACACACTCGAATCCCTCGAGCAAAACTCAGTACTTAATCCCTAAGCACTAAAACAAAGTGTTTGTAAAAGAGAAGAAACAAAACGAGTTCAGTTCTTCAGCACTGTAAGAATGCTGAAAAACTGGACCGAATAAAATAAAAATAATAGAAACTCTCAAACACTCAATTGAAGCTGATGAATGATGAACTTGATTTGCAGCAGCTTTCTTGTATTCAATTGATTGCTTGAGTAGGCTTATATACAACCTCCTTAAGGTAAGGAGTCTTCACAGTTCTTCATTTACCTTTTAGGAGTTAATTTCCTTCTCAATTGATTCCTTTCTGATTTGGACGAAATCCTCCATGTAATGTAAGTTTCCTTGATGTAGAAATCATGTATGTGATTTGGAGATCTTCAGAATTGAGCTTCCAATGGAAAAACGCGTTCCAAGAATCTGGTAAGAACATGACTTTCCAAAAATAGCCGATCTTCCAAATCTTCAAAGATCTTGTGGTGAATCTTTCCAAATCCTCCTTAGATCTTCTCATGAACGTCCAGAACTCTTCTTGTATGGAAAGCTCATCCTTTCATAGTCCTTGCCACCTATTCCTTGTCCTACAAGAAAGAGAGAACCAATTATGGTATGTGGCATATATGGTAAGTGAATATATATGATATATATTATGTAATCTTCCTCCTTTCCTTTCTTTATTCTCATCTGATTTCCTAACATATAAAAAATACCATAATAAGACCAACACAATCTTATATATGGAATATAATATAAACTTAAGTAAGGAAATAAAATATTCAAAGATCTTCCATTTTTCTGTGGTTCCAGGTGCTTGTTCGAACCAACGAACTAATGCCAAGCAAAAATATCTTTCAATCTCCCCCTTTGGCATCTAGTTCGAACACCGACAGACTTAAGAGTCTCCTGAAAAACTAAAACAACAAGCACCAAATGATAAAACCACAACAAGGGATATGCAAACGAAAATAATCACTGTGTTCAAACACAGTTCTCCCCCTCAGTTCTTGCAACCATCAAAACTCAATAGAATGAATCAAAACAAACTTCCATTCAACTTATTTTGCTTGCTTAACAAAAAATCTTCTAGAAAACACTTAGGTTTGTCGGACATGATGCCAAACCAATATTCTTACAATCTCCCCCTTTGGCATTCAGTTCGAAAACCGTGTTTCTTGAAGATAACCTACACCATAAACTCAAAACAGCAAAGCAATTATCTATGTGCGAACATTAGGAAGTAACTGCTCAAACACCTGCAGTGTAAGAACATCAGAACAGTTCCTATCAAGACAACTAGGAGGACTATGATCAGAGCAATCAAAACACGTCAAGCAATCAGAACCTAAGTCAAATAGAGTGACCAATTCATCTCCCCCTGTCAGAACAGACAAAACAATCAAACAGCAAAACATACATGGTTCTTACATCATGTAGAACCATGTCAAAAACAGCAACCACAAATAATCAGAAGCAAACAACTAG